AAACAGGTTAAAAACATTTTCCGGCTTTTTGAAATCAGTAACTTACGGGTACATCAGACTACATCAAGTAAACTTTTAGGGGACATTTGCGAGTAAGCCTAACCTAGAATCATGCATCGAAACAGGTTAAAAACATTTTCCGGCTTTTTAAATCAGTAACTTACGGGTACATCAGACTACATCAAGTAAACTTTTAGGGGACATTTGCGAGTAAGCCTAACCTAGAATCATGCATCGAAACAGGTTAAAAACATTTTCCGGCTTTTTGAAATCAGTAACTTACGGGTACATCAGACTACATCAAGTAAACTTTTAGGGGACATTTGCGAGTAAGCCTAACCTAGAATCATGCATCGAAACAGGTCAAACTACTTTTGAAGAAAAATATTGTTTTTGGGTTTTTAGGAATGACATATATTTATTCTATTATTTATTTACATGACATGGTTTAAATACAACATTTTTATTTCTTTAAGTTACATTTTTATTTAAAATAAAATTTCTTACATTTAGCTAATACAATTTAAATAAATTAATATCTGAAATCTTGCTTGCTTTCCAGTCGAGGATGCTTTTCACGAGATAGTAGTGTCGCTGTCATAACACCTTCGCGATTTTGCTCTAATACGCGTTTTGATACATTAGCCAGTAATTGAACATGTCTCTCAGTTCCCTGAATGTGGACCGGAATTTTAGGGTCACTCCATGGACACTCATTGCTTTGTAGATATTGTACTAGATGTTCATGAGGAATATTTAGCGTAAAGGCTGGTTCGGATATATTTGAATAATCATCCATATCTATCATATTAGTATAGTCGGTGCATTCGAAATTTATTTCGGGTGTTTTGTAATCTCTCAATTGCGTCAGGTCTTCCACATTATTACGGTAATATAAGATTTTTCTTATAGCTGAATCTCGTATTTCCTTTTTATTATCAAACAACATTGCTAATAAAATATTTTCCGAGTGAGCATAGTTTGCGTTTTCTTTAGCAACATTGTTCACAATTTGTCTCAAATTCGAGTCTAAATATTGCGTCCAGCTAATAAATTTATAAAATAATATACTACCATACACCACAGAGTTGTAATATTTAATGTTAAAGTACATTGGAATATATCCTTTCATTACGTAGTTTGCCAGAATTTTCAAATTTTTGGATGGCTTATTAGTAGTTACATATAACCGAAGTAACCTACTAGCCTTCGTGAGCCAACGGGAATGTGCTATTGGCCCTGGTTTCATGTTAGCTAAGTCTGTCGATACTTCTCCAGAAGCAACTGCGTTAGCTATTTTTATTAAATAACTTGAGTCAGTTGTCGATTCAGCAGGACTTATATCAGCCAAATTTTCAAGTGGGATTGTTTCAAAGTCTTTTACCGGCTGGAAGTATATAGGAAAAAAAAATTATATTGAATTTGAACATAGGGTATTAAAAATAGTAAATATGTTATAACTCACCGGTATATTTTCGCATGTTTCAATTTGTTTGCTTAATATTCCAGTTTTTGTTCGTGGTCCAGTGGTCAATGATTTTTCCAAATAGTTAAATAAATGGCGAAGTGGAAGTTCGTTAAAGTGGAGAAGACACACAAACCAATGCAGTGGCCTGTTTAACTGAATTTCAAATCGACGTAAAATACCATTTTTTACGCCTGTATTTGCTGGTTCACCATCGCAACATATGCCTATCAAAGAATCGAGAGCTATTCCTTTATCGGCGAAAAACTCGTTCAATTTGATTACTTTACTTTCCGAAACTTCATTTTCCAATTTTGTGTAACCCAACAATTGGCCATTCGGTTCCTTTAAAATAACTAAATGCGCTTCTTTAATCATTCGTGGGTGAAACTTCTTATCGATTTTTTCCATGGTAATAGAATCATTTTTTCGGCCGTCGAATGAAAATGCTATTAATTCAGAAGAATCATATCGTTTGTGTAGAGCTTGCCTATTTTTCTGCCTCTCACGAACGCTTTTATTTTTATCCATAATGACAGGATTGCCCCAATCATCCGTTATGCCCAGGTCACGCAGGATTGCCGTCACCACGCCAGACCCAACTCTATCAGAAATTGCAAATCTGTCGCACATTAAGGCATAGCTTGGAGCCTTATATCTTCGACTATATGGACCACGTTTTATATGAGAAGTATTTTGTGAACTTTCCGAACTGCTTTTAAAATCAAAATCAACATCTGGAGTATATGTCTCACCTGGAGTAATATTGCTAGTTATTGTAGATTCTGATACTTCATCTTCATTTTTATAATATATTCTGGTATCGTAGATTTCCTCTCATTATGTTGATCCATCATAAACGCTTGTAAATGTTCTGGGATCAGTCCACAGGAACACAGTAATCTTCGCAAATCGCATTTGCATTTTCCAATATAAAATAATTCTTTCGTGGATTCTACAAACTCCTGAAATGATGCTTGGGTAGACTTGCTTTTATTTGTACTTTTATATTTATCAATCAATCGGTTCAATTTTCTAGCGATACTTCGTTTCTCCATAATTGGAATATCAATTTTTTCCCACGTCTGAATCAATTTCGTTACCACATTTGGAGTAAATGTTTTATATGAAAACATTTTATTTTGTTTTTTTGATTTTTCGGCCAAATAAAAATAATACCTGATAATTTCCATACTTGTCGGAAGATTTACTCCAGTAAATTCTTTTGCTTCCCCAAATGTAATTTGATCATGCGAGCGCATATGATTCAAATTACTGGCACTTGCGCCTGAATTTAAATAAGAATTCGCCATTGATACTTCACGTCTAACTGGAGAACTGAATGAAGATTTATGCCGATTTTTCACATTAATATATTCTTTTCGAAACTTCGAGAATTATTATAAAAAAATACTAGCGCACTCTGATGGAAATAAATAACAACAAACTAAACCCGATTTAAAAACCCCCGTACAAACTACCAATAAAAATATAACTATCAATTTGAATTATTCACATGCCTAAATTAATATATTAACTTATTAAAAACAGTATTTTATTGAAAATTTCGCTGGCTAAAGAGTTATTTGCGATATATGGTTTTGAAGTCAAAATTCATTTAAATAACACATATATTTCATATGAAAAGGTGCCCATATCGCTTAATTTTACTTCTATAATGATTTGGCCCACCCTATTCATTGGTTTCTTAGAAAACTGTGGTTAAATATACGGGTTTTACTAAGAAATATCAATAGGGTGGGCCAAATTTTTGCATATTGAGGCACCTCGCTAATTTAACTTTTTACATCATTTGAAACAATATTGTAAAAAAAAGCATAACCCGCAAATGAATTTAAAGTCAGCGAAAAATTTCAAACATTTTTTAATTTAAAGTAAAAATTGAAAAATCTCATGAAAAATATATTATGACATATATCGAGTTATACATCATTTTATTCTGCATCTTTCGTACGAACAAAGTTTTTTCGTATCTTTTACGGTTTTTATGTTATAGAGCAATAGGTGTAGTTTAACATGTCAAAATGCAAAGTGCGGCTAGGTTGGAGCAACACTCTTCACGATTCGATATTTCTCTAAAGAAAACATATAAAGTATTATACATCATTAGAAAGGTCTCAAAATTCTTAGTTCTTTTTCCATATATCACAACTTCGAATTTTGCACGGTGTGGCCTACAGGCGAGTTGCCGTCGTGAAAATTTGGAAAAATCG